GTTGGGACAAAGAACTGTGTAGCTTTCCTAGAATTGAGCATAATACCAAGCGTATTACGAGTTCTTCATATCCTCATGTCTTACAGGTGGATCGACAATATGGCATAATTATGATGATTGGCGTGTAAATTAATGATAGAACTCTTACGGAGCATCAATCGCAGTATTTTTTCCGTCCACGCCTGAGGTCGGTGTGATGTCAGAGGTAAAACGCTTGGATCGGACACAGTGTGACTGACAAGGCCGCATAGCGCCTCTACGTGTGCCACGCATGAGCCGACCGCTTCTCGACATACCATATCTTCACACGAGGAGGGCTGATAGCTCAGTTCGCGCATACGTGAGAGTGCTATAGGGACCACACTGACAAAGAGCCGTTTATTCTTACTTTTAGTCCATCGGTCAGTTGCTTCATTCAAATGCACACTGGGTCTACTGGGAGGTCTGAATTGTAGTGTCATTTGGTCAAACTTAAAGCTACGGCTTGAACGCACCCTAAAAGATCCAAAACTATCTGGTGCTTGAAAACATGCTATGAAGTTACCGTTTTTTTGTTCAACACTCCCTGCGGTTTCGGTGGACTATTGGAATGCTTCATCAATAGCTGGGGCGGTCCGAATAATCGTTTTTTGGTGAAAAAGACTTCTGCTGTCTGAAGGATAAGCTGAAATGATAAATATGAACGATTCTGGTGCTATTAGAACAGATAGAGATACTACGCGAGAGAATGTCCTCGCTGGAGACTAGCACAAAGTTAGGAGACTTTCATGTTTCATTGTTCCTCGCAAATAGATTGCCGTGACTGACTATGGATTGACTCGAGGCAACAAAAAATAAGACAAATGTTCTGTTTGAAAGCTCATACCGTTATACTTAGGGGGCAGAATCCCCGCATATAACACTGAAAACCGAAATTTATTCTCGATAATGACTAAAGTGAGAAAATGGAGATAGAATAGAAGTTTAACTTCCAACAAACAAGTACGAGGTGGGCTTTTATTATCAAACTTGCAAAAGAGGCACACTAATTGGACACAGACAGCACCAGCAAGTAACAGGCATACCTATTCCATGCCTTATATTACCTATGTACGTACCAGCTTTTCC